TATATATCAGCATTACAGGTTTATTACTGTTTTAACTGTCTTTTTTCCCTGCTTCAGGTCATTCAGGCCTGACTTTGTTTTGGTGCGCCAACACGCCTTCAGCATGGCTCAAAATGAGGACTTCAGAAACCTGATCATTGGTCTTCAGTATGCAGGCGTCCCTTCAGTCAACACTCTGGACTCCATTTACAACCTGTGTGACAAACCCTGGGCTGTAAGTGAACTTTGCAGAACACATGCAATATTTTTTTAGAAGAGTTTCAGAGATGTGAAGGTAACATTTATTTTTAGTTTTATATGCATTTGTATTGGTCCACAATGTCCACAGTGTTTAATTGGAAGCACTTTTCTGCTTCATTGTTTTTCTCTCTCTTTTCCAGTTTTCCCAGCTGATCAACAACCAGAAGCGGTTGGGTTCAGATAAGTTTCCTCTCATTAATCAGACGTTCTACCCCAACTACAGAGACATGGTAAAGGCTTTTTCTGGTTTATTCCATATTGTGTGTTATTAGTCTCCACTAAAACATTTGCAACCACCAATGTGGTTCAAATGACCTCAAAATGGACAATTTCAGAAAAAGTGATTTTGTGTGCATGTCATGGTAAATTAGAGATCTTTAACTATTGCAGCAAAATGATAATAATGTAAACAACAAACAATTTCAATACATTTTAAAAAGAGGAGAAAATGTAAATAAACATATGCCGCTATCCGGTTAGATCTAAAGCAGTATAGTTTATGTGGTCATTCTTTGACATGTTTTATGTTGATTTGAAAATGTAAAGCTGTTCAGAACATGGTTTACGTCACTTTCTGCTGATATTGAGATATTTAAGGTCTTTAAAGAAAATGCAAATTTCTCAGAAATATTTCTAAAGTAGCACCACAAAATCAGCGATTTTAACTCAAAAAAATCACAAACATATAAGAAATCTGGAACGGACTGATTTATGTTTAATTAAAAATGTGAGGTAATACCTGTTCTTCATTATTTCACCTGGATTATGGAATAGTTTTTTTTTTTAAAGTACAAATAGTTTTAAACAATCTTCACAGCATTTTACTACCACCACTAGGCTTAACATTAACTTCAATGTTTTTATGTCTTAAAAGACTCATGTTAACTTCATCAAACTTTCTTCAATAACATTTGTTGTTAAATGATCCAATCATCCTGAATTCAACTGTATTATTTAAAATCATCTGGGCTGTTGTGTTAGATTTTTCTTTCTAAAGATAATCAACAAAAGGGGCAGTGATACATCGTTCCACTGAGACATTTTATATACATTTTTTTTTTTTTTTGGTACATGAATAGAAAACTTTATGTAGACAGAAACAGAGACTTAAATACAAACCCAACAATTATTTGAGTAAAAAACAAACTGAAATCTGTTTTAACACTTCATTAAACCATACAATAATATAATGCATTATTAATTTTTGCTTTGTGATACTAAAATAACTGCATGAGTTTGTAAAGGAGATTATATTTAGACGACTGTCTCAAATCTGAAATGTTGATTTTCCATTCGGTTTAAACTTTTCAGTGCTGACGTGAGATAAATGTCAACATGATCCACCAAGTTGAACAGGACAGTAAAAAAATGTTGTCAAACTTGAATGTTTTTGATTTGCAAACAAAAGTAGTTATTAAATTGTTTCACGTCTTAAGAGAAAGAGCTATCCAACCCAATTTTTTCTGAAAAAAATAACCACTCCCGTGTTAAATCATGTTTAACTGTCAACGTTTAATTTTACAAGTCATACCCAGGCCTGATCGTAACCAGATGTGTAAAAATCAAGAGATCTCCTAAATGTTACTTGGCTGGCTACGAGAAAAAGGCTAATAATCTCCAAAGGCAACACATCGTACCCCAGGCAAAAGAAATCCAATAAAAAGTAACAAACTTTACAGACTTGCAGTAGCCTGGGGAGGATTAGAAAACCATTTCTTCACTTCTGGGAGCCATTAACCACAAATACTTAGAATAGAGTTAAATCTTCCCGGGACTGGTGGGTTTGCTAAAATTAAGTCCAACTAGAGCACAATGGGAACTGATCCAGGAGGTAACAGAAGAACATCTCCCTCAGTTAAGGTCACTAATCTTGGTTGAACAATAATGAAGGGGCAACAAAAGGCATCCAAAAAATAGAACTGATTAAAAAGGGAATCACAAAGGGCCACCTCACGTTGCTAAAAATCACCTTGATACCTCCAAGACCTTCAAGAAAATATTTTGTAGGGCAGATGTACAATTTTTTTTCTAACTTCTGTCTCTAACAAATGAACTTATCATTTAAAAATTGCTTTATATAGCCACTTGGGTCTTCTTAGTCTGATGTTAAAATTTGTTTGATGATCTGAAACGGGTGTGACAAAAGTGCAGATTTCATCAGCAAGGGTGAGCTTATTTGTTCACAGCACCGTGAATGTGCTACAAAGCCGAATCATAGTGCATTATAATCTGTATGATTTATATGAAGCAATCCTGGATCAAAACAGGGGTCAAGTCAGACCCTTGTTAAGTCTTTATATTGAGCAACATTTAAATGATTCAGCAGATTTCTAAAACAAACAGGTGAACAACCCACCTTCAGTTTCAAGGAGTTAAAAAAAACAAACCTTATCCTGTTATCTCATTTCCTCTGAAGAGGAAAGGCTTAGCTTCTACAGGTGGCAGTGCTGTTGCCGAAGCGCCGGATGAGGTTTTTGGCACAAAAAAAAAAAAAAAAAAAAAAAAAGGAAGAAAAAGCTCCACAAAGGAAGCAGGATGAGAAGCTCTGTCTACTCTAAAAGAAAACATGTGGTTAGTTATGAAAATGTTAATTCAACAGAATTACTATATTTACAGTTTCAAAATTTTGAGATAAAACGCCGTATAATTTCTGCATCACAACAACAAATAACACAAGTAACTGGTTAACTTGGGATGCTTTTCTTTGCCTGAACTGCAGAATGCAAAGGTTTTAGGCACGTCAGGTTCTTATTTATGACGTATAATTCCACATTTTCAGCATTAAGTCGATTATACAGAACCACCTCAAACTAAGTAAAAGAAAATGCAAACAAAGAATTATAAAAAAAAATGGCTTTACCCCAAAGATTATTAGGAAAACTCCTGCAATTTAAGTTTTTTTTTTCTTCACATCACTTTTAATTATACCAATAAATTAAAACTATTCTGCAATTGCCTATTATGCATCCTTGTTGAAGCTTCAATGCCTAAAACCTTGACAAAGCACAGTATATTCAGTGTACTTTCATTTGTGTCAGCATTTCAGATAGAAATTCAACATCAGGATGCTGCAGTCAAGATGCACGTAATTAGACTCTGCAAGGTTGATACAAGAAAGGATTCTATTATTTTAGTGTTCTTAAACATTTCTTTAATATTTCTGTAAATTCAGAACTTAAATTGCTATTTAGCCTATTGTACATTACACAAATAATCATAGGGCTTAAAAGGAGTGCATTTACAATGAGGCAAACACCTTCACTCAAAAGTGAAATATTAGCTGTGGATATTCTGCTGCTGTTCTCACTCTGTAACGACATGTGAAGTGGAAAGTGTGAAAGTGAGTCAGAGAAACGCTCAAAGACCCTGCACTTTAAATATTTATTTTCCTGTTGCTGGATCAACTGCCTGAACTTTGCAACCGGTAGCTTAATGGCAGCTTTTTCTCCAGCGGGTTTGAAAAATCAGCAAATTTTCCCCTTTTTTTTTTTTTTTTTCCTAGTTGCTTCTTTGCAAGCCAAATGCGTGCTAAATATGCCAAAAGCAGGGTTGGATTTTCCTTAAGGGATTTCTGAAGTCGGCATTACAGATCAGGGGTCGGTCATGTCCAAGAAGTCCTTCTCGGGCGGAGGCCCACCCCGGTACCAACCACAGCTTGTGTCCGATCGTCGGATGCAGGCATACTGCCGAGCCTGCTCCCCGTTCAGACTATTATCCAGCAGCCAGTCCGTCCACAGACACTCGTTCTCTCCTGTAGACGCACAAGGCACCGTGTAGCACGTGTTGATCTGACGAGAGAGGAAAATTATTCAGATATTATGCTTAGAACTTGTGCTGATCAATTTTGTCTCCCTTGAGTTTTGTAACTGGGAGAATATTTAAGACAAATTTGCGAAAGCATGTGTTTTGTAGTCTTGTTTTGCAAAGATCTTGTAGGCAGCAAGACATGATCTCACATGACTTGTGGAAAATTTTAAACAGGATATCGTATATGCTGTTTGTTCACCAAATTTCTCTAGCAAACTTCTGAAACCTTCAAAGAACAGTTGCATGTACACTGAGATTAAATTACACACAGTTGGACTCCATTTAAATGGCTTAGGTTGCTCTGGATTTTAGTCAGAGATATAAAATTACAGAGGTTATCTGTTTGCAAAATATTCTGAAAACGACATATCACAATTATACTCTACGTTGTGCTTGTCTATTACATAAAATGCATATAAAATAAACTGAAGTTTGTGTTCCTAACAAAACTTTAAAAGTATAGGTGGGGTAAACTCACTCTGCATTCACAGCCCATCTGGTATCTGTAGTTAAGGTTCTTTTTTTGTGACAGTGATAAGTTGTCCCAGGACTCCACTAGGTCACACTGGCCAATAGAAATCCGTCCATCGCTCCACATGCTTCCTGTTTAGATGCATCATGCAATCAGCAATTAGTTCGACAGTCTGCTGAAACTCATAAAAGTGCTACAGCAGTAAACAAGAACTTTAATTACAGCCTTTATGTCAAAGCTTTTAGACATTATACTGAGTAATTAGGCTGCCGTGATTTTGTTAGGAATGCAATCAGAAAAGTTTTGTTACTTTTATTTATTATTATTATTTTTTTAGCATAGTTCTTTTCTAAAAAAAAAAAACAGGCATTAGAAATAGTGATGCACCAGTCAGTCTCCAAGTGATCTGAACGGTGGCCAATTTTCTCTTGACTGTGTCTGATTGGTGAAATACTGGATAAAACCACGAACATGATGTGATACAGGGGCACATTTTTCTGAGTTACTTTTCAAAATGCAGGTAAGACAAGAGAAGACGTGAGGAGAGAGAGGTGTTTTGATATTCTTAAGGGTTAGTAGAGAATAGCTACTCACCTAAAACTTATCTATATTTGAAGTCAGAATAGTAAAAATCACATTTTGGAGGCACAAAGTATTTATGGCAACAATTATTTTGAAACTTTTTCTAAAAGTTTCTCCTGAGAAGCCACTACTTGTAGAGAGTATTTTAAGTACTAAATTAAAAAAACAAATCAATATCCAGGTGAAAGAAAGAAAGAAAGAAAATTGGAATGGCCAATCAGAAATAAAAGAAAATCGATAATGGCAGGATGAATAATGTTGTGCTACTTCCTGTTTCCTCTGGAAATTAATAACATCTGTGTCAGATTGTTTCACTGAAAGTGTTACAACACAGCACAGGTTGCAGACTGTACCTGAGAGCAGATAGCCTGCTTTGTTGTTGGAGTCCAGTTTGACTCCACAGAGTGAAGAGAAGACAGGCGTGTACACATACTGGATGTCCTTGGCTCTGTCAAAACCTTTGAACATCTGGACACACAGAGGAGAAGAGAAAGTTTTCTGACAGATTTGTTATTTATCACATGAGAAGGTGTTGCAAGATGAAAGGATTAAACATAGTAAAACACTGAAGTAAATTATTTTTCTATTTAATCAGCGTCAATGTCAGCATGTAGAATCAATACATTTTGTTTTCTGACTGAGCCATAAAAATAATTTGTAATAACCAAGGTGCATTATGAAACCTATGCCAAAATGTTTTTTTATTTGCCGTTTCATATTAAACAATTTGCACTTTTTTAGTCTTTGGACATTTTTCATGTTAGGTGAAGTTCAGTTTTGGATAACTTTGGATGTTTTGATACAAAATATGTTTATATACATTTTTATGTGATTTATTTTGTTTTTAATTTTCTTTTTATATACTGTCAAATACTGTAATCTGAGGTCTTTAAGCATTTTAGTCCTGCTAACTCATTGAAAATTCCTACTTTGAATACGCTACTACTGAAACTTCATTAGATATTTTTTTTCACATTCACTGGTGTTGAAATCCCTTCAAAATGTCATATTGTGTTGTTTTCTACTTGGTGAGTATCTTATCAGCTACTCCAACTCTAATAATTTTGGGCTTAACCAATTTTTTTACTATTTAATGATTTAAACAATTTAATTTTAACATTTACTGAAACAAATAAATAAATACTGTGTGTGGGTTTTTGAAAATAAATGAAGCTAAAACTTTTATCCAAAGGGTTATAAATTCAGACAATCTATGAAGTTTTGTTACATGATGATGACTAAAGATGATAGAGCCTTTAATTACAAAAATGTAGAAAACTACTTTATAGGACTCTTTAAAATAACTTTTTTGTGGAGGAAAACCTGGAGCCAAATAATGAAAAGCGTTAAATCCAGTTGCTTTTAAATTTTGAGGATAAAGTTCAGAGATTCTCATCACTGGAGGCTGGAAAATGTCTGCCCTTGAGATAAAGTGTGAAATATTTATGCAATCACGAGGACTTTCCAACCCAGCTGAAAGGAGGAAACAAGAAGGTGGGACGTTAAATAAAGTGATGCTGCACTATCGGACATTTATGATGTCTAAGCTACTTTTGTTTGTGGCATCACTTGTATTTCATCACTTTTACAGACAAACAACACATAAATCCTGCTGACATGTACATGCAAAACAGCCGTATTCACAGAAAGTGATGCCACCGTCAGCAGCGTCTAAGAACTCACCTTGATCATTTTGATTTCGTACTGGATCATCTTCATGTAAGGTGAGGAGCTGTTGCTAGGCGACACAATCTTCTCTCCAGAGATCTTTGCCCTTATCACTGTCAGGAAAAGAGAGAGAGAACAAAACGCAAACAGGAAGAAGGGTTCAGATTAATTGAACTAGACAATGAATGTGAACATCAGGATGGTGTGCTCTACAGGATACTATCATGGATAATTCCTTTATTTATTTGTATGGGTTGATTGGTAGGTACATAGGCAGATCTGTGCCCCTCTCCTACCTCTTTTGCTCCCATTTTGTTTGTCACTCCTCTTCCTCCCCACACTGACAGTGTTGCAGCCTCGCAGTAGTGATACAGGATGTGTCACTCTTCTCCTCTGGGAGGAAATTCAAAACCCTCATGGAATAACAAGTAGCTCTCTGCTCGCTGTGTCCTCGCTAACTCCACACACACTAATACAGTATGTACACATTATGCATATTAGATTTAATACTCAATCTGCGAAGTGCAGATTGAAGCTTTAATATCTGTGCCTTCTTTGCTACGAATTGGTTTCTCATCCGACAAACTCTTTGAGTTCGCATCATATTCTGATTCAAACTAACAGCACCTGAGTCTGGAATGAACTCCTCCCAGCACCAGGAATGATCCAGTCACAGATTAATGACAACAATGAGGCTCAGCAGTGCAGTAGCTTTATTTTGTTTTTGGGTAAGGAGATATTTCAAATCTATACCGGAGATGTTAATGTTAGCATGCTGCAGCTGTAACGCAAACCATTTATTGGCACAATAGAAGAACATGCTTCCCAACTTGTTCTGTTTAAAATAAATGTATAAAGTTAGACTTTCTGCAAGTTTGTGATCTTTTCCTGGACCTATATTTGCTTGTATAGATTTTCAGCCGAGGCTTTATTTAAAATGTTATGATACAGTGTTCATGGGCTTTCATTTGTTTACCTAATTTTCAACTATGAAGAACCAGCTACAAAGTAAAGTTAGACAAGGACAGAACATTTTAAAATAAAAAACTTTTGGTGCTAAAAAGGTGAACATTTATTCTGAGCAACAACGCTACATTTTCTGTTGTTAAATATATTTACATGAGTCTGCAATTCCCAGAAAAAAGGTGCAAATCTCACATTGTAAAATAAAAGCCTGTAGTCCTGTATGACAGTCTGGAGAGAAGAGCCAGAAGTGGGTCAAGTTAAACCACTAAAGCATTAGAGAGCAGGAGAGGCAGAGTGAACCTCACACACACGGCTTAGCAAACCACCCACTTGGTTTTCCTTTTGGGTCATCACATAACTACGCCACAGTTTTTTGTGCTGGAAAGAGGAGGAGGAGCTCAGGCTGTTCTGTGAAATTAGCTCAGGCCAAGCTCAGTCGTTTTGTTTGTTTGCCGAACACCCCGGCGGACAGAAAGGCGGACAAACGCCTTAGGGTTTAATCTGAGCGTATAGCATTGCCCAGTCAGATACAGCTGCTTCAGACATGTTGCCTTTGCAGAAAATGTCACAGATTTAATGTTTTCTTGAACTTTGATGTACTTATTTCATTTATTTAGAGCTCAATCTTAAAATTGTCAACTACACAGAATTGGTAAGACATTTAGACAATACATTCTTAGCAGGGTTTTTTTTAACATTAATGTAACAAAAAAAATGACTGAAATTAAGAACAACAATCACATTTTTGAACCATTGATGCTGCTTTTCAGTTTTTTGTCAAGCTTAATTTTATTTTGTCTAAATTTGAATTTTGACATAGAGGTCAAACTTATGCCAAACATTCATATATTTTAATGTATCATTAAAATTTTACTTTAATGTTCAACAAAAATTAATTATTAAAAATGTAAAAGATGATTCCTGAAGACTGTAAGATTATTATTATTATTATTATTATTATTATTATTATTATTATTATTATTATTATTATTATTATTATTATTATTATTATTATTATTATTATTAAAAAACGTTTATATAATAATAAAAAAAACAGATACTGCTCATATACTGGTGGGTGCTGTTTTAAATATAAAAATGCAACTAGGTAACAAGAGTTTTTACTTTTTTCTTTCCACTTTAAATATACTGCTTTGTGAATAAAGTGCATGTGGAAAGTGCAATATTTTACCATAAGTGATGGCGTCATTTCTCCTTTTTGAGCTGAGAATAATCAGAAACAATTGATTATTGCATGCTGGTCCCAATATGTAATCTTAAGAGTCAAGGTGGCAGCAGGTATCACTGCCTGTGTTGTTGTAATTAATCATTCAGCTAAAAGCTTTGCAGAATGTAATAGGTTACACATATGATAAAACATGCTTGGTGAAACTTCATATTTAAATACAAAGTGCAGGAGCGCTGAACCATATATTAAAGCAACAAGAGAGAAATGTATTAACATCTATTTCTTACTTTCACAATTCAGAAGTTTACATTTACTGCCTTCTATTTAGTTTTGTGATTTGGGTAAAGCGTTTTGGGGTATTTGTTTACATCCAAGCTCTGAGCTTTTTCTTCAATATTGATGTTGTTTCTTCATGAAGCCGTCTATTTTACTCGTTCCTCCTGCTGTAAAACATCCACGCAGCATTTCTGAATTCCAAATCTGTCATTTCCAGCTGAATTGATTCTTCTCAGTGAGATTTTCCAAGCGTTTGTCATTCAATAAAAGCGTCATCCACCTGCCTGATCTTAGATACTCACTCAAGCTGCTGCAGCTGTTTTGTGCACTTAGAAAAACAGCCACACCTGCAACGTCTGAGTGCCTGTTCGTCTGCTGCACACCTACATCACTAAAAAGAAATATTGTAAACTTGTACCATGAGAACTGATGTAGTAAGTAACTTCCTTCTCCCAGATGAATCAGCACCCTTGTCATGCTCACAAAGCTGGACTGTCAGTGGGCTTTCATACTGATATTGTTAGTATGCAGACCATCAGACAGTGCCTATAGACATGGAAATGAGGTGGTGAGTTAGAGGGTAAGAAAGAGAGAGATGGAGTAGGCTGTGTTGGCATGGACTGGCCTCCATCCAGCGAACACACATGCACACGCACACACACACACTGTCAAACAAACATTGACCAAGGAATCATCCAGGGTTTGTGCACACATTTGGATATTACTCAGATGTACGGCTTTATTCGCACAGCTTGTCGACTCCGACAGCACTGTCAGGTCAACTTAAGGCCACCACAGGCCTTTGCTTCAAAAACAGCCTGGAGGGTGTGACCACACACACCAGGAAGTGAAACAATTTCGCCCAAATACTCGAGGGCTATTAGGACTTTGTTATTCATAATACCAGAAAAGTTGTTTCCTACCTGAAAAGAGTCTAACTGTTTATTCAGAGATTGAAAGTTTGGGGATTTTTATTATCAGTTGCTTCCACAATGAACACATTTTATTGTTTACAAAGATTTTGAAGACATTGTCCTTATAACTTTTAGATCCGATCTTTTTATCTCTTACAACGTAGTCTGACCTGTCCTTTTTACATTTGACAACAATGAGGAAAACATCACTGAGATGAGATGATGAGTTTCTTTTTTGATATGTTGTCTCCAAATACGACACATTTTTGTGTTTAATTCGCTTTCATTCTTAAGCAATTCAGAGGTTATTGTTAAGTGGCTTAAACAAAAGACTATTAAAGATTGCTATGTTAATGATTTAAGTGGAAAAGAAACAAACAAACAAAAAAACAGCTTATGTCCAGAGAACATCTTTGCAGATGAAAGCAGATGACAAAAGGGTGCAATTTAAATAAACTAAAGCACAAAAACCATTTTCTTTTCTCAAACAGAGATGCTTATAACGCCTGAAACTAAATTTCTACTTGTTTCTTTTGAAGTTCAAGTTAACATTAGAACTGCAGCACAGCTAACTGCCATCGGTAGATAGAAAAGCAGAATTTTCAATCTATTACAAACTATTGATTCAAAGTACAAGGAATCTGTCATGTCCCAGTTGCAGTGTTATTAGTTGTATAGTAGCGGTGCTCATGTGTGATATACATAGAGAGAGAGCTGCAACGTCCAACTGCAAACAAATTGTTTGCCAAACTATTTGTGGCAACCCGATCTGCAATTCGAACAAGTTCAACTCTGATGTGACATCATTCACAGATGCAAGCTCTAACAAAATGAGCGCAGCATAAATTGAGGAGTGCAGCAAGATTAATAAAGTTCATCACCAACAAGCATGAAAAGTCCAAATTTAAATTACTGAAGAAACAGTTTCTCTGCTCTGATGGAATCTAGATGAATAAAAAAAAGAGGGAATTCAAGGCTGAAAAATAACACATAACATCCAAGAATCAAAAGCAAAACAGCCAGTATCAGTTTGCATTTCCAACTTGAAAAAACTTAGTTTATTTTCTCCTTTACTTTGTGCTATATTGTTCCAGTTTTATCTTCAAGCTAAGCTAACTCTATACTCTTATCCAATGGCCTCTTCACCTCAAACTCAACAAAAACAGGAATTTTAACTTTGAAAAACGTTCAGTGTTTCATGTCCAACTGGAACTTCAAGCAGCATTTTTCATAGTATCATTTCAAATGTATTACCATTATTGAAGTGATTGCAAAACAACAAATCATACTTTTGCTTAACAGTGATTTATCTGCCTTAAAATCACATGTCATGTTTAGTTTCGTATATCGAACAAAACTGAGTAAAATTTGTAATTAGGTAAGTGATGTTTAAAAGATGGCAAAAAAATGTAGGACATTTTTTTACAATTTTGTGATACTTTGTGATTTATTTTAATTGTAAAGGATTACGCTTACTGAATATTTTGCTGTAGGGAAAATGAGTTTAAAATAAATAGGCTGTATTATAGTTACCGTCAGATTGCTGTGATAGCTTTTGCCAGACTATTTGTTAGAGGGATTTTAGCTAGCTTAACTGTTTTATTTGAAAGGTCAAAGTAAGTTTTTGATGAATGATACATAGTTTAAAATGATTTTAACTATTAGTATTATTTATTATTTTACACTTATTTTGTAAAGCTGTCTAATTGTCTTCAAGTTGTTTTGGGTTTTGGATCGTTGATGATGAAACTTGTCCATAAGGCTGCAGATCGGATCAGTTCTGCTTCTTTAGATTCTTTGTCAGTAGCAAGCCTGCCTGGAAACACCGTCACTTTCAATTTAGAATAATTGTTCTTGGTGGACCTTCATCTCAGTTATGAAGGGCAAAACTGATGTGCAACATCCTGTCACGAAACAAATCCTCCCAAATGCTTCCATCACATCTCAATAACACAGGTTTAATTACGCTCAGCTTCCATTTCAATATAATTCATTCAGAAAAAAACTTCACCCTCTAAACCTGATGGGGATTGCAGAGAAATAAGAAATCAAGACTGAAAGAGATATTTCTTTCTTCTTTATCTGCTTGTTTTTTTCTCCCTGTTGGAGTTTAACCTTTGACAGAAGCACATACTCAAGCCTTCCACACTCTGGAGCCAAGTACTCAAATTCAAAGCAGAGTGTTAGTTTTGGCTTAAGCTTAGAGAAGGCGGAACAAAAAAGTGGGGGTGAGACTGGGCAGAGAGGCAGATGAATAGAAAGTTGGGTTGTTTATTTTAACGATTGAGGTTAAGGGTTGTTTTTATGGGATTCAGAGAAATAAAATGGGAAAATGCCACTTTTGACGCCACGTAGTTCTTTTCACTTATTTTTTCAGTTATTTTCACACAGTCTTATAAGTATATCATCCTGGTTGTATTTTAATTGCAGGTAAAATCTGACAAAGATTCCCTAAATGCTTCAGCTAAGCTGATTATCTATTGCCACATTTGTTTTTGTTTTCTCTGTGAATTTGGCCTTTGCACCAGTTACAAATCAGACAAAGCTGATCAATGAGCAAAACAAACAAAAATCCTTCTTTTAAAAAGAATTGCTGTTTTATTTTGCTAATTTAATCTTGAATGTTGTATATTCGCTACATCATTGCAAGCAAAGGCAAGGTTTAACCATCTTTAGTTTACTATGAATTAACTCACCAATCTCAGCGCTGCAGAAGAGCTGCTGTGGATGTGACGGGTGGCAGCTACATCCCTCCACAACGTCCTCCAGGCCCGCACCAAGCAAAAGGAGCACCACCAGCCCCAGACATGCACTTCTCTCCTGGGACAAGGCCATGGTGGCTCTGGCTACCTCTTACTGTTCCACCACTTGATGAATGCTCTGCAGCCTCTTCTTGCCCCGTCGAGTTCCCTGGGAAGCAGGTCAGGCCGACAGTCGGCAGAGGGGGTGCGCGGCAGAGAAGACAGTGGGGTCGAAGAGATAAGAGGAGCTCTGGAGAGCTGGGACGCAGCTGTGGATAGAAATGTTTTCATAAGTTTAAAGTGCACCTCTGAATTCAAGCCTCAGCAAATAACTTGAGTTGAAAGCTACTGCTGCTCTCTTTTCTCTTCCTTCGCTCTCCCCCTCTCTGTAGACAACACACAGAGAGGCTCACAATAGCCCAATCCCCTCACACTCTGGCCTTGAATGCTGAGAGGGTCGCACACAGGGAGCCTCTTATGCGCTCAACAATTTAGGGACAGCCTCCTGAAATGCAGGAAAAAAAAGCTGGCATCCTGTAACTTCTTCTTTTGCTCTCTTTTTGAAGCTCGTCATCTCCTCTGGACACTTTTACAAGGTCAAAATCATTCAAATCTCTTCTAGGTTTCTACCAAGGGTTAAATTATGAACAAAAAATATTCCGGAAGGAATGGAATCCTTCATGTTTGTTTTTAATCCCGAGGATACTTGTTTTCTTCAAGAGTCAATCCTCATTCAGAATAGTTTTTATCCTTATGTTAAACTTCTTATGGAAAAAATACTATTATTGTCTACAAATATGTTTTACGTTTACTACTAATAAACATTCACAGCAAATATGAGTCTATTCAGTTTCACTTGTATGCCATCATACCCCAAAAAAATTAAAAAGTGTGTTTCAAGTACAGTATGTAATAAGGGAAAAACAATATTAAGAATGCCATTGTTTTCTCAGAAAAACAATTTTAATTGACTTAGTGACATGAAATATAAACCAGATATCAGAAACAACTCAAGTAATTCAAAATAAATTAATACATAAGTAATGGAAAATAAGTGGAATTGCACAGATCACATGAATTGCACAGGTTTGATTTTAACTCATTGCATGGCTTTTTCTTCAGCAGTGGAGTTTTGTGCAGTAAACAAACATGGAGGTTATTGTGGATGAGTGTAGGATTACTTGCATTGCAGTCAACATTTGGTTGGCGGTCCGTTTAATAGCCACATTAAAAACATATTTAATGAAAAATGTTTTGAGATGTTTGATACTTATTTGCTCCACTGTTTCGTCGTTCCTTTCTTGAGCTTCCTGTTTGCTCCTTGGCTTCAGAAGAAAATGATTTTATCTAAAAGATGTTGACTGGAAGAACCTTTTAAAGATCTAAAGTCAAAAAATTACAGACAATCTGTAAACATATCTTTTTCCTTGGATTTTTCCACTGTTTGTTTGGGGGTTGAGGGAAGCAGTTGTCACTTTCTGTGATTCAGTTTCACTCATACTTTATCTTTTGTATTACAGATTACAACACCAAGTTTCCCAGTAGTGGTGAAGATCGGACATGCCCACTCTGGAATGGGAAAGGTACGGAAATATTGAATCTTGCATTATTTGTTTTTGAATCGGGCAGACATACAAGAAACAACATGCAAGAGTTTTCGCAATTATGCTTTAATAACTTAAGTCAAAACTGAAAAAGAAAGAGCAGACAGAAAGTTAAAGACACATTGTCTAGAATAATGTAAAACTACACCTAAACCCACATATGTTCAGTATCTCTGAAACATGAATACTTACATTTACTCTTTATCTTTATTTTTTTCTTGTCTTTCCTGCTACTAGGCAACCTTGCATTGTTTTCCTCTTAGTCATCTCTAATATTGACTCATCACTATGTTTTTTTTTTCTGTTTTCTAACAGAAAGAGCTCTTTATCAAACATTTTTTTCCTGATGAGCCGCTTAATCTGAAACAGAATTTCTGTCACTGTTTAGACTAGCTCCAAAATGTTTCCATTAACTGAGAAAAGTGGAAACAAACACTGTATTTACCTTTTCTGTCTTCCTTTATTCTAAGGAGTGCTTCGGCAGCAATGCCTAAACCAGGGTGCTTGTAATATAAATAGTAATTCTCTTGAACATGCAATTTCAGATGAACAGACCAAGCTCTTTACCATACTTTTTTAAAGATGACTTCTACTTTTATTAAACCTATAAATTAATTTAATCATTTAAATCATAAGATAACAAATAACTTCCTATAGGTTGAAATAACCTATAGGATCAGCTAGAATCAGCTAAATCAATCTGGCCTCTATAGTCTAATGCTATTCTGTAGGATTTGTAAAAGAGAACTGAATTTAAGCATGACTGAATATTACATTCACAAACATATATGTACAATAAAAAGTGAATTATATTGGCTGGATTATGTCATCTTTAAAACATGTTTAAGGGAGTGGAGGTTTTGGAGTTTATATGACAAGGTTTAGCATGTAAATAAACTTTTCTGCATCCCGTGTCATTTATCTACAGGTAAAGGTGGACAACGTTAGTGATTTCCAAGACATTGCGAGTGTGGTGGCCATCACTCAGACCTACTGCACTACAGAGCCATTTGTAGATGCCAAGTACGACATCAGGGTCCAAAAAATTGGAGCTGACTACAAAGCTTACATGTGAGTCTGTCGCTTTGTTCGGTGTTTGTACAATTCTGTCTGACCTCTGCAGGTCTGTGTCCAGAACAATCCAGAGAACACTGTGATCTCTTCTGAGGGAACAATTGAAAGCCTTCAGTTCAAGGGATGCGGTTCAGTTATGTTATGTAAAAAAAAAAAAAAAAAAAAAAAGGAATAAGCAATGTGCTTTCTTTTGCAAAATTCCTGCAACATTTTGGAGCTCTATGTTAATTAATTGAAATTTCCAAACTGAAAGCTTATGTTGATGCTAATTTAACACCCAATTTCCTCTCCGTTTTCAGGCGAACATCCATCTCTGGTAACTGGAAAAGCAACACCGGATCTGCCATGTTGGAACAAGTAGCCATGACTGACAAGTGAGCGGTGCTTCTGCGTTAGTGATGCTCCAGCTGGCCTGGGTGCTGCACACGTCGCTCCGGTTGTGTTACGTCACAGTTAGTCATACTGCGCTGAAGCAGGGGATTCATTCAGCTTTAAACCAGGTCACTCCTGGAAAAACACAGAGATGTTTGGAATTCACTTCATATTTATGATGCATTCATGTGCTTTTTTTTTTTTTGGCAGTGAATATATTCATTTAAGCAGTGATGCTATAGCAGCTAAAACCAATACTTAGCTGCTCTCCTGGAATTGAGGATTTATACTCCCTTTGAAACATGTATTTGATTTTTTTTCTTTTACATATAACTTAACCTTTATTGCTATAAAGATGCTATAACTCCTTATGAAATTTACAAGATTCAACAATTATTATTATGTCAATTTATTTAACACTTTATATGTCTGTGTTTACCAACCCTGCTTTGCAGATTTTAAACATTTCCCTGCTTTAACACACCTGATTCAGATGGTTGCTAATCAGCTATTGACTGAAATCAGGTGTGCTGAAGCAGGGGAACATCTAACACATGCAGGCTGGTGTGCCTAGGCTTTTACAGGTGGACTACAGTTGTTTAGTAAATCTGGATGCTTTCCAAAAAGTTAATTACCCCAATTAGTACAGTATCAATATCCTCTCGGTTAGTATTGATTTTATTTGACGACAGTTTGGTTGTGTTCAGTCTTCAAGACAGCAAAATCAGTCTAAAGCAAAAGATCGGCTGCTCAAGGTTTATTGTCAAGATGACAATAAGGGCAACTGTTGCACTGGCAAATTGAGCTAAACCGATTAACAAGTCGATACTTCTATTGAGATGGTGCACAAGATGAAATCTTTTCTTAGTCAGCCAAAAGAACATAAAATCTGTCTTCATTCACATTTCTGCTTCTTGTGAAAAAAACATTCATCAATACTTTCCAAAGGCACAGAATGAGGGTTCTAGGTGTATTAATTAACACATTTTTATTTTCTGGCAGGTATAAATCGTGGGTCGACACCTGCTCAGAGATCTTTGGGGGTCTGGACATCTGTGCTGTTAAAGCCATCTGTGGTAAGGATGGCAATGACTACATTACCGAGGTGAGAATAAGTCTTTCAAATAAGCTTTCAGGTGTAAAGGTGCTGACATTGCTTTAATGTGACAAATTAAATTTGTGTCCGCTCCCTCCTTTTTTTTGAGCAGCAAAATTTCACCACATTTTCATAAGAATGGTGTAACAAAACACAGCTTAATGTACTGATTGCAAGAGTTCCTAAGCCAACATTACTCTGCCCGTCCAGTGGCCTTAAAATTTATGCCTTAATTCAATCTAACCTTACACAACTTGCAGTATTTAATGCTAGCTAGATATTCTGTGTGTCCGTTTATTTAAAAACAGGTTTCTTCAATCTTTGTCAACAAACTATTCTGTCTGTATCACTCACCCTGCTTTTTTTGTCCTGTGCATTTTAGCGTATTGCTCTGATTTTGATTTGCTGTAACCACACTTTTTTTTAAATAAACCAATGTGGTCTCCTAATAATATTTTTTTCATTAAAACAAACCATTTAGTGGTAACATCTCCATGTGGAAACTGTCGAAACTGCCAAACCCTAGGCGTCAGCTCTAAATGTAAAATAGCGAAGCACTAAAATGAAATTGGGGATTAAATGTGTGCAAGTTTTTTTGCAGCAGTTATTTGGGGTTTGACATAGACATTCAAAGAAAACCGGAGGATGTGATGGTATGACTGAACAACAATCTGGAGCTTTTAGGGTCAGACAGAGAACTACTGGGCAAACACAAGTTTGGAAAACAAAGAAGAGGCAGTGATGAAGAAAAACCACTGGCTTATGGTTGTAGTATGTTTGGCTGAAGACTCTAAAGGCTCATGTTTGCATCCTAAGGCTATACTAAGATGAATCTATTGACAGAAAAAGTGTTAGATGGAGCCTCCATAATTCTTGAGGTTATAGGGGAGTAACAAGAACAACCATTGCTAAAAGAAAGATGTAAAAAGTATTTAAATGCAGCAAAAATATGAAAGGTCAAATGTGGCCAAAATTTAAAGTTTTGGTCTATAACCAAAAATTGATGTGTGTTAGAAAGATAAAAAGGCAGATGACCTTGAAGACACAAATCCATTAAATATTGTGGTGGCTGATTTTTTTTTTTTTACCAGAGTGAGAAAAAACTTGTTGCATTTTATGGATAGATGTACGTATATAAACATAACTCAGTGCAGGGCAATCCTGGAAGAAAACTTTGTAGAGACTAAAAAGACTTAAAACTATGACCAAGGTCATAGCTTTAAATATATATAAACGTATAACCCGATCTGTTGTGAAGTGATGGTTCAGATGAAAGCATATCCACATATCATAATGGTCCGGTCAAAGACCAGACCTACTGTAAATCCAACTGAGAATTGGGCTATTTTGCAATGAAAGTGGGTAAAGCTTTCAGTCTTTTGATGTTCAAATCTCCTAGAGACATACCCCAAAAGATTTCCAGCTATAATTGCAGCATAAGGTGGTTCCATAAATTTCAAATCGTTGGCATAATGAGTGACATAAATCCAAGTAAAAATACTTTGGGGTATGTGGTTGTAACAACAGATAATGTGCAAAGATTCAAGGGGTGGAAATATTTGTGAAAGCTACCTCAAGATGGGAAGAGCGACATAATGGTGTGTTAAGAATTAGCAGTTTTGAGCAACAGAACATCAGAAATTAGCTGGACAAATGTGAAGTTTAATTAAGATCCTTTTGGGACTTATAACTTAGCAGCCATTACGTTTTCAATGTGCAGTTCAGAAAGCGATAAGACAGAGTGTGCAGGACTCTAACTAAAGTGCTCAGACTAAGCTGCTTCTCCCTGAATGCAGTTTCGCAATTAGTATTGACTCACATAACAGTTTGGAGACCTCTGGCTGGCCATCCATGGAAAATGCTGAGTCATCTTTATGGTTGCTAGCTACTAAAAGCTTGACCAAAATGTAGCTTGGGGTACAGAGAATATGCTTTGTAAAATTTGTGTTCATAGACGTTGTTAAATGAAATTCTAATTGAACATGGTACATTGCTAAAGCAGGAAAGCTTTAGCAGAAAGAGAGTTTTTGCATAATAAAGCTAAAAACTCAAAAGACTTCTTGGGAGTGATTCATTGAAAGGATAAAGTTATTTTGATGGGTCAGGCAGGTCAAGAGGAAAAATAACTATTGTTTCCAGAGTAGCTCTCCTTCATCTTCACATCCTCTTCACATCCCCCTTCTGCCCCAAACTCTTCCCCCAGGACAAACATGAGTTGCATAAAGGTCACCAATAGCAAGGCTTTAACTCCAGTTTGCTGGGTCAACTCTAAGGTCCATTAATCTTTCCTGTCTTACTTCTAACAGGGACTTTGATGCTTTTTTTATTTTTTTATTTTTTTACATTTTCAAAATAGTGAAACCAGATCCAACAGGAGCTTTGGTATGTCCAATTTCCTCTATGACAACTTGAAAGAGAACTCAATTAAAGGTCATTGAGGAGTTTTTCCTCAATGACCTTCAAAAAGTATTGCCAATACAGAGTTTGTTATTTTCTCCGAGAGTTGAAAAAATAGATTTGTTAGGAACTTGCTGGGAGGCTGGGAAAATAAGATGAAACAGCCCTGACATTACAATAGCAATTTTTGAAATAAAATATGGTATTTTTTTGATCTTGGGGAGTCACACAGAACATCTGTAGTCTATGATCCATTGTATCCTGCTGTCCAGGTCGTGGGCTCATCTATGCAGCTGATCGGCGATCACCAGGCAGAGGATCGGCAGCTCATTTCTGAGGTGGTGCTGGCTAAGATGAACCAAGCTCTGACTACCAGGTCATCCAGTGCTTCCCGCTCGCCTGCTCGCTCTCCTCAAAGCCAGAAGCCGACAACTGTGCAGCCCCAGCAGGTGACTGAATTGCGCTTTAACTTGAGTGGCTAATCTGTCAGAAAACATACAGTTTTGTTCAAGATATCAGAATCACTAACCTGACAAATCACTGTTTACTAGTAGAATTTATATTTCTACATGGTTAATAATTTTGCAGGTATGCGAACTAGAGAAAGAGCAGAACCCACAGTCATGACATTCAGCCTGCTGATTTTGAGTAATTGAATTCCTAATTTAAGGCGAGTGTTTCAAATAATAGCAGTTAGGAGTTCAGTCTGAAAAGTTATTCATTCTGAGAAATGTAAGTGGCTCATGATTAAGGGTGAAGGCAGCCTTAAATGCTGGTTTAAATCAAAATTTTGTTGTAAAATGGGTCTTTCCAGTCTTTGTTCAGAAGAAAAGCATAGTTTGAATAACAAAGTTGATTGGCGGAGAGCGACTGCTCAGCTAAATTGAGCTCAAATGCTTTAAAATTTAAACCAAAACCAGGAACACGTCAAGAAAATACTATTTAAATGGATTGAAAAACTGCCAAAATGGCAAATTCTCAGACAATGATCACCAGTTTAAAGAAGGTCTACATATACCGGAGTACAGCGATAGAAGATAACTTTATAAAATAGCATTGTTGGAAAAAAACTGCATGACAAAAGACACTAAACATCACATCACTGCAACGTTTTGACCCGTTCCTGCTCTACGACCCTTTAATAAAAGCAATGGTTAATTATCAGGGCTTTATAAACCTTAGCATTTTGAATCAGGCCTGTTGAAGCAGCGGTGCAGTACAGTGGCACTCGAGGACTGGTCCACTACACCCAAACACTGAATTCAAGTCATTATACACCATGGAGAATGGTGACCCAACCACCATTTTAAGGAGATGTATCCCTTAATACGGTCCAGGCGTATCATCAGTCATGTATTCACACACTCTTGCCAATATTCAAGGAACACGGGCTGCTGCTATAAGTCAAAGAATAAATGTCGAAAAATAGGTGATACAACAAGACATCGACCCAAACACACCAGTAGACCAGCAGCATCTTGGTTCCACACCAACAAGATTAAGGTTATGGAGTGGCCAGCGAAATTCCTGGACCTTAATCTCATAAAAATCCTTTCAAATTGCATCGAAAATTCTGTATCAGTCAAAACCAAGGAATGAGGAAATATATGTGGACTGAAATATCTGTTCACAGGTGACACAAATGGGTCAAGTCCAAAAAACCTACATGTAAAACAGTTCTCAGAAAAAAATTGGTTATGCAACTAGATATTAGTTCAGTGATTCAAGGCACAGCTAGATCAAGTATGTTTAATTTGATAAGATATTTGTTTTCATAGAGAAATGGAGACAATTTCTCAACAGGCTCATGTTTCTTTTTCCTCACTTTCTGTGGGCTGGTAACAGATTTCATAAATATTTTCATTGCAGTGTTCCCAAATGCATTTGCAAGTTAAGCAATAAAGCTAAATGAGAATTTTAGGCTATGCTCAATTTTTTTAAACACATTAACATTTTGAGCAAAACTGCGTATCAGCGTAGCTGCTGTGCAAATGAAAATAACATAGACACTCTTACATAAAGCCTGGATTAATAAGGTGTTCTTTTTGGCTCTCTGCAGTTCACAGCTGACTCATCCGTGTCTTTCCTTTCTTTCTTCCATCTGTTTATCTTCATCAGACTGCTTCTGCTAAGGAAGGCCTGGCAGACCCGAACAGGAGCTCAGGCCAACGTCCTCAACCTCAAGGTTGTCTGAACGCTGCCCACAATCAAAGCACTGCAGCTGTAGGGTGGAAGCAGGTTTAGAAAACATAAATCTGCTTAAATCAGTTAACTACAGGAGATTTTGAACACCTGCTAGCCATTTACTGACAAACTAAGTACTGCCACAAGGGGGAAGATGGGAACATTTACAGAGTCAGTGTTCATAACAAACTCCTGGGCGCCACCGTGTGTATCCTCTGGTTGCACAGACAGTTTCAGTAAATCCTGATCATTTTCTGCACTTATTATCTCTCCATGTCCTGTAACTTTTGTTTTATGTTGCCAATGATTAAGGTAAACAGTGAAGCTACTCGCTAAGGCACAGAAATACTATCACGGGTGCTTTGATTTGGCCATTGTCACACATGACATGACAATGTGTGGATCTAAATCTGTCTGCAACTCAAACCAGCCTTGAGTTGCAGACAACTGGATGGATGTTTTTTCTTCCCTACTGAAGAAAAACCTCCACCCAGTTGGATGCTGCAGCCATATTTTACTGTGGGGAGGGTATATTCTTTTAATTTCCTCCTGGTTTCATTCTGGTTTCATTTGACCAGAGCACTAGTTCAGTGTTTGCCCTATCAGCGAACTGGCCTCTGATGAACCTTAAACTAGATTCATTAGGTTTTTTTCAACAACTGCCTTGTTTTTTGCCTCCAAAAATTCCTTAACGAAATCTCCACATGAAAAATCTTCAGCATCACTTGCATATAGTGAAAAGGGAATGTGGTTCCAAACACAGCTGCTAAAAGTCTTAAAAGCAGCCTATTTGTGTAGAAAAGTAGCAAACGCCAACCAAGAAGTAAAGCTTAGTTTACTAACAGCTGAGTGTGTTGCAGTTTTCTGGTCATGTCCGGTTAGTTTTATTGAATACAATCGGTTGGTTATTCAAAGAATTAGAAATGGTGGCAGGATAGTATTGGATAGCTAATTCCCTCACAATTCTGAACTCACGTCTACTGTCCTGGTATGACAACTATATTAAAAGTTGTTTTTGTTTTTTTGCATTTTCACAAGTGTCTTATCAGAGAAACAGAAGTTTTTTTGCTTCGTGTTCATGTGCTCCTGACAGTATTTGGTGCAGTCGTTCACGTCTAAACGGAGAAAATATCACCAGCTGTCCTTTGAAGCTGTCACCAATTTTCGTTTCTACTTGTGTCGTCAAATTACCAAGCTAATAGCATCATGGAGCACTTAGGAATCATCTTTTTTGTGTTCTGCAGCTGTGCTGTAACACATGCTTAGCGGTGTTTACTCAGGATCGATGTACTGATGCTTAATGTCGCCACTAAAAGCAGTGGCATTCACAGCTGACTTAAATCCATTATTTTCTACAGTTGCTATGTTTATCCATGAGTGTGTGTTTGCATGCTCATTAATTACAGTTCCTTGTTTTGCATGGATGTGGTGAATGTTTTGACATCATCTGGTGCTACATTAGTTTAGTAATGCTGATTTTTTTATGTCTTATGATAATTAGAAGAGGAAATTGAGTGTAACTTTTGTATTCAGTTGTGAAATAAATGCTGGTAGATTTATTTACATCCTGCATTAAATTGTGTTTCCAGTTGAAGTTATATGTAAAAACTATTTTACTGTAGTAAACATATCCATGGATGAATATTAATGTAATTTTATTATAGAAACAAATAACTTATTATGCAGACGCTTTATGTGTTGGTAAACATCTGACTGTTATTGCTGTTTTTGGTGGTTAAAATACGTACATTTTACTCAATTTTCTTTAATTCATTTTAATGTAGACAATTTTCTGGAATCAATTGCATCTTTTGGCAATTGCAAACCCCACGGTGGTCGTTTTTTGTTTTGTTTATAGGTTTTAGATACAATCCTTTTTATGTTCCTCTACATTATCCTATCTTATTTACTTGGATCCGAACCAGTCAATTGCTGATTCAATATTTTCAACAAAAGATTTTACAGATTTTGTTTTGTTCATAAAAAAATAAGAATAAAAATAATAATACCAAAAAGTTTATATAACTGAATCCTTTTATCCTAAAACATTCTGATTTAATTTAGAAAGTAATGCATTATTTTCTTAGAAACTAAAATTATGTCTAACTAATGGTTGGTATCCAAGAAAATTATTATTGTATCTTGTTTTCCAATTATGTTTGTACATATGTTTTCCTTGGTTTTTATGCTTCGTGAATCACAAGCAACCATTGAACAAATGTAAGACTCAAGGCAGTTCAGCTGCCGGACAGCAGTGGCTCTCTGGGATGACTTTTCAGGTTTCTACTAAGATCGATCTAAAAGAATAATTTCAAGAGTGCATTGATAGAAAATGCACAGCTTTTTCTAGTACATTCTGGACACATTTTAGAAGTCAAATCTCAATCCTGAATATCTGAAAGGAAATTATCTGTCACTAAAAAAAATCATCCCAATCCAGTCACTTCCTTGCTCTGCATGTGTAACTTCTTGAGGTGTTGTTGCTTTGCTATTAATGCTTGAGTCACTCTGAACTCTGTACTCTCCTTTAATTGCTTATTTCATTCAGCACAGTACTAAAACTTGCACAATTTTTACTATAGAAGTTGTGCTACCTCATGGTTGGATTAACTGCTGATCTTCCACCCTCTGCTGGATGCAGCTGGTCCAGTCCTCTGTTTACATTTGCATTGCTCTGGATTTTTGCATATTTGAGGGGCCATTGTTTGAATGAGCATGTCATGTTGTGTTTTGGTTTTTGGTGAGTGCTACATATGCCTGATTTTGGAGCTGCAGTGCTAAATCAAGAGGTGTGAGGTTTTGAAATGTTGATGCAAATTTTTTTATTGTATTTAGGCACTTGCTCTTTTTCTCTCTTTTTCTCTGTGTAATGTATTTTTTTTTTAATTTAGGAGTTATTTACATATACAGGCACAAGTATACTTACACTTACTACATGCATTAATGTCAAGTTATTTTGTGCTTTGATTATTTAGATGTTATTTTTCCAGGAAATAATGGGAATCTTCAATTTCCAAGAAAGGTGCACAAGTTTTACAATTCTTACATTTATTTTTCAACCACAGTGGTTTAAAACTACTGAACCAGGTGCAAATAAATGCATACACTTCTAATAACACACTAAAATTGTGCTTAATGTCCGTGAAAAAGTTGAACCCCCAAGTGTTGCTTTTTGTTGTCAACAACAAGCTTCAGGTTCAGTTATTTTAGGACAGAATTGGCTGTTTGTTTAAACGTGTCCTGTTATTTACCAAGCTTTTAGTTTCTCTATTGACAAATTTCAAATAAGAAATGAGAAATTACCTGCTGTGCTGAGTCGTGATGAAGGAGTAATTAAGCCTTCGCCTTATCAAAGTTATTATAGAATAACTTTCACCACTTATTACCAGATATTTAAAAGTATTTCAGCCAGTATGTATAATGTTGGCACAGTGGAGATCAGAGAAAATTCATCGTAAAATTTTAATTGTGTACCCAATTTTTGTCTCTAAAATTCATAGAAGCTGAAATCATTTAGGTCATTCAATCAAGGAAAAATAACAGTTCTAAAACTTCATTAAAAGCCCAAATTACTTTGACATTCATGCATACTGTGAGCATATGTGCACTGTTGACTGTATTTTAATGAAACTACTAACTTTCTCATTGTTTTAGGTGCTGCACTGAAATCACAGAGTGTGGACGTAACAGCAGAATCAGCAAAAAGACCTTCTGAACCTAAGCCTGACCAGGTCCAGAAACCTCCTGGCGCTCAGAAACCATCTCAGGCTCAGAAACCGAGCCCGGTCCAAAAGGCTGCCTCTGTCACAAAGCCACCCGTGCCGAGGCCTCCCCCAATGATCAGAGCCCCTTCTGTAACAAAGCCAACCCCAGATTCTGCTTCCAGCTCAGTCCCATCCAAAGCTTCACCATCATCCCCAGCTAAAGCAGCCAAAGCTCCAGGTTCCCCACCAACAAAAGCCCCAGCAGCAGCAGCAGCTTCAAGTTCCCCTCCTGCCTCTCCCAAACCTTCTCCTGCCACCACAGAGCAGCCCAAACCCCAGCCACAAGGCTCTCCATCGGCATCACCTGGGAAACCTAAAGATCTGCCCCCAAAACCCACACCACCCGCAAAGCCGATTCCTCCTGTTCGCAGGAATTCTAAGCCACAGCTTCAGCCAAAGCCACAGTCTCCCACTCCTCCAAAGGCTTTGCCCAAACCCCAGCCCCCGACTCAACCCCAAGCCCCCGAACCCACCTTGGCGTCTGATGCCACCCACCCTGCACAGGTCCAGTCCCCTGCTAAATCCAGCCAGCCCTCCTCTAACGTCCAGGCTCAAGCTCAGGCCAAGCCACCCTCTCCATCCCAAAACCCTGAGCCGACTCCAGCTGAAGCACCCGCAGCATCCGGTGATCCCCAGGCGCCTGTTGAAGATCAGCCCCAACAAAAGACCCATCCACTACTGAAGTAAGAAACACATTGTCAATATGCTGTGGATAATGCAAGAACAAGAACTTCACACTCAGTATTGATCTAGATTAACAAATCACCTGTTATTCTCCAGTAAAAGGGCTATGATTTACCATCTCTGTTTTCACTTCCTAATTACACCCTCATTAATGTTCACATACCCCTCTTTCCCTTTCCCTCTAATGCTCCCATAACACCCCACAATTCCTTCCCCTCCTCCCTCCTTTCTTCTCCCTTCCAGTAAGTCCCAGTCCCTGACCAATGCCTTCAACGCCTTTAGCGACTCCTCTTTCTTCCGCGGGGTCTCAGGCTCCGGTGGCGATGGCCAAGAAGAGGCAAAAGCCGAAACCATTCGCAACCTTCGAAAGTCCTTTGCCAGCCTTTTCTCTGATTAACACAACCAAACAACAGTTTGCCCCTTGTTGATGCTGGTCCTCCTTTTAACCAGTGGCCAGCTATCCTGATTGACATTAAATGTGAACCAGTCTGAGATTAAAGTTTGTGTGTCAGTTGTACTTTATTCCCCACATCCTTTTTCCTGTTCAGCTCCTCTCTTATCTCCCCAGTGCAGGTAACAGTGAGGCCTATTGCAGACAAAGATTAATCAAAGACTGTCTTGAAGGAGTTACGTCATTGATACAGTGCCTGACAAAAAAATACTTATATCTCTTGATATTTTTCGCATTCTGTTGCATTGAAACCACAAACTTCAGTGTGCTGATGTGACAAACGCTAAGAAATGCAGCATTTTGAAATGCATGGAAAAGGCCAGACATGAGCTATAGCTGTCTTGTTGACAGATATTTCCACATACCAATTGGATGACCTCTGAAGTCAGGTGTTCATTGGATTTCATTTAGGTGGCTTACAGTAAAAGTGGTAGGTTGTACTTCCCCACCACAATTCAGATATTCTCTTCTTTTGCAAAAAAAAAAAAGTCAGTCTGTGCACCAATTTTTTATTATTTCTCAATTATGTGCAAGTTTACATCAAACTGCTACAATGCCATAGTGATGTGTGCATAGCACTAATCCCTGTTGATTCATATTCAGAATATGCAAAAGATCACACCTGAAACATGTTTGGTTGGAGTAATGCCAAATTATGACCAATTTTGCTAATACACCTAAATGTATCAGATTATTGATCTCCATTTAATTCTGAGTCTGTTTGACAGTAAAAACACGCCTTTTATATAATTGTACATACATTTAATCAGCAAGTGATTAAGGGATATGAGTGTTTTGTAAGGCACTGTACATAATATAATATATTACAGTAGACAAAAACTATTTATTTTCACATAGAACATTAAATGACTTGTAGAAAGTAACATGAAAGATATAAGATGGATTGTACATATAGTATTTATACAAAGTATATAAATCTAAACGTATATAACTATAAAGGGACATAAGCCAGTAAAAGAAAAAACAAATATCCAGCTGCAATTTTGCAGTTTTTTCCAGTGACATAACTCTTTCATTCAGTGGCTAGATTTATAGAAACTTTACCTAATCTGACGTTTGATGGTTTCCCCCACAGTAAATGTTGTCACCTTGTGCGTAAAAGAATCGTAAAACAACATCTTTAAAAGGTTTGTTCCTCTGTATCTCCAGCTGTGTTGTCTCTGGTCCTTGGCCACTGATTGCCAGGCTCTTCTTGACTTCCCTGTTTTTGTCCTAAAAAAGGCCTTGAAGTTCATCCTTTTTGTGTGGGAGTTGGATATATGTACGTGTGCGTGTTCATCCGTGTTCACTAGTCGTGCATGACTCCTAAGAGTGGCTCGAAACGTAACGTTTGGATCAGAAGGGAGCTCTATCAGTGTTGAGTTTTGCCCTCTGTTGCCTCTCTCCTCTTTCTAGATGTTGTAGCCTTATTGTGAACATGTTCTCGATTCGCAGCTATGTCCGCTAGCTGTGCAGACCTGGGTCAATCACAAACTGAAAAGTATTCATTTACTCTGAGCCAACTGGCTTTGTTTAACCAGTACTGTGTGGGAGCAAGTAACTGAGTGACTAAATGAATGCATTTCAAACAGTTACTCATGTCTGTCGCTGTGACTGGTGATTTCTTGTTTCACCTCTGTGTAGATCTTTCAGCAGTATTGTAATTTGTCGATTACTCTCATTGAAAAGACGTTGAGACAGTAGTGCAATAACACCTCGACATGACTGTTGAGCGTTGTCATCCTTATATAAATAATACATAAAGGATTTGTCTATGTGTTAATTTAAGAGTTCTTTCAGTGGTCTGGTTCCAGGTTGCTTTTAAACTGCCGTCAGGAGCATGATGTTCTGTGTTGGGTTTGTAGCTAATCTTATTTGTGTAGTTGGAGTGAATTTAACACAACCCGGAGGTCATCTCCTACCTTCACTGTTAAAAAAAAGGGAACAATCAAAATACAACCCATTTTAATGCAGATCATTTCAACCAATCTGCTTATCCTTTTCCAGTACTGTTGAAAGTAAATTTATAGCATACTGTATTTGTTTGTGTCACCCCAAGAAGTTTATTTTTTGTAAAACATTTATTTATTTAAGGCTCCATATTTATGGTACAGTATAAATAGATATTTATTGTTTGTTTTGTATTGTGTTTTTATTTGTAATGCAATATCGCTTTGCATGATCTGGTGACTAATGTTATTTTTTTTCTGTAAAGATAAAAGTCAATAAAGATGTGATTCTATCATTCCATGGATTCACTGAGATTCACGTTGATGCCTCTGACTTTTGTCTGTTGAGAAGCAAATGCACTGTAATAAACTGGCACATAAAACGAGAACTTAATATCCCCCATAAGCTTGACGGGACTTGACATGTTCACATAAAGCATTTAGTTTCTTTATGATTGGACCTACATAAAACCAATTTTTATGCAGGGCGAGACAAATGACTTGATAGGACATGGTGTAATAGCAGCTCAAGATTCAATTAAGCTGCATGAAGACAATGAACATCTTTTTACTAATATAGAGAAAAGAGATAATTCAAGAGCTTAAATTTATGCGTACGGAGCTTGAAGAAATTGTGTAAACAATTTGTTGTAGTTGTAGTTTTTTTATTTGAAACTGAACATTTATTAAGTTAAATCGACTGCATTTTTCTTTGTTCTGGAGTTTTAAATTGGTTTCTTAAAAGTTAATACTTGGGCTAAGGACTTACTTATATATATATTAAAATGTAAGTTGTCCTGCCAGTGAGTCAAATAAGTTATGCAACAGCAGAAAAGTAAAAAAAAATAAATAAATAAATAAATTAAGATTTTTATAAATGATTTATCTACGTGAATTACAATTTTTTTTTAACCAGGGAGTCAAAAAGACACATGTTCACCAGATGAGCAGTCTGTACTAACTGATCTAATGTCATAGATATATAATGTGTGTATAAAACATCTACCAGCAGGGACATGCATTGAACCAAAAGCCATTTGTTGCTCCTTTTTTTTTTTTTTTTTTTACTTTAGTTAACCAGCAGATGGCGATAAATAATTATTGTAACATTTGGAGCTTTGTAGCATTTGCAATGTACAGCATCTTAATATTACCAGCTCAGTGCAAAGATATAAAAAAAATTATGTAGAAAAATTGGGTAAAATAATAATAATTTGAGAAAAAAGGGAAACAACAGATCTACTTGTCACTGTCATGCATTGATGTACTTTTATGAACACAAAAGACGAATCAGTCGTGCAATACAGAATATTATTTTTTAGGTTTTTATTTATTTTTTTATATTGACCTTCTCATGTATTGTTTGTTTATTCTTTCTTTTCTGCACCTACCATTGACCAAAGTGGGTCTAAAAGGTGCAGCATGTGAGCATGTGGGGGAGGATTTTTTTTTTCACGTATGCAACCAACAAACTCAAGGTGTTAACCTAAGTTGCTCTGCTTACATGTGAAAAAGCACTTTCATCTGTTGCTTAAAAAAAAAAAAAACTGTGTGTGAACATTGACAAAAACTTGCAACTAGAAGTTCATTTGTGTTACTTTTGGAACAATGCAGAAATGAATGCATAGGATGAATGTGCATGCAAAAAATGCAAGAGGTCACAAACACACAAATGTAACTCACTATGTGCACCTCATGTGCACTCTCTATGCACTGTGTGGGCTGTAAAGACAAAGGAAATATGCACTATTTTTGATTCTTGGTCACCTGTTCATGAGGAGATCTGAGTGAACTCTCGCACTGACATGAACGTGGGTACTTTCTGCAGGTCAGCAAAAGTAAACTTGGCAACCAGTTTTGTTTTCAAACCTGCTGGATGTTAGGTCCAAGTAAGGCTGAATGCATTTAGAATATATTGCAAAGCATCACACAAAAGTATATTAATATATTAATATGGTGATTGCAGGTGATTTTCAAAAAAGGGCTTCTACAAATCCAACGTCTCAACAGTTTGTCACCAAATGTCGAGGATTCATACATTTACAAAACAAGAGCTCATCTAGGAAAAACAGATAATCTTATTTTTCTCTTCTCAGAATATAATCCCATTAATTTAGAGGGGAATTTGTAAGAGAAGTAAGAGAACTGTTAAGAAATTGGAAGCTGATGAAGCATCGTAGGGCTGTTTTGAGGCCAGGGACTGGAATGTTCTGTGCCAGCCACATGGAGAGGAAATAAAGTCATGCCATAACTGAGTGCATGACTGACTATAAAAACTTGAGATGTCAAACTTGAGAAGCAACTCCAGTCCTCAAGGGCTACCATCCTGCAACTTTTAGATTCACCTCTTCTCCAAAATGTCTGAATTCCCTCACCAGCATTCATTCTTCTCTGCAATAGGCTGGAAACGAGCAGTTTATTTGATCCAGGTGTGTTTGAGCAGAGACGCATCTAAAGGTTACAGGATGGTGGCCCTCGAGGACTGGAGTTGGTGACCCCTGCCCTATAACAAACCCTGAATCTCCAGTGATTTAAAGGGAAGGGAGACAGGGATTTCAGGAATATATAGAAGCAGCTCAAAGTCAAAATTAGAGACACCAAAGTGAACTATGAGAAGGAGATGAAGAGCAAACTAAAGAGGAACAATGTGTGGTCAGGGATGAAGACGTTCACACAAAATGAGGATCAGATAGATGGACGTCTGGACAGATCAACTGAGATTAACACATTCTTCAACATGGTCAATTCTGGGACAAGTTCATCATCCTCCTCTTCTGCTCCCAGACAGACATCCCACCCTCCTTTGACCCACAGCTTTCCTGTCAAACCTCAGATGTTTTATCTTCCACCTCGGCCATGGACTCATCTGCTTCTATAAGTGCCATGCCTTGTTCCTTTACCAAAAAAGACCCGCCCACCAGTCATCAACGACAATGCCAAAGGTCCTGGAGAGACCTGAGTAAGCAAACAACCACATACCAGAACCCTGTGCAGTTTGCGTATCTCTGTGGAGTTGGAGTTCAACATGCCATCAAACACCTGCTTCAACAAACCCACTTTCATCAGAGCAAAGCAGGAAGCACTGTAAGGATTGTGTTCTTTGATTTCTCCAGTGCATTTATTACGACTCAGTCTGATTTGCTTTGTCAGAAACTCAAGAGACACAAGTGGAGGCCTCAACATTCACCTGGATCCTTTAT